TTTATAGGCCTATTCTAAAGCCATGATTGGTTGGTGTTAAGTAAAGCAATGAGTGTTGCACATGTGAGGAGTTAGTCATTGAGGCATAGTGTGAATTAGTCTGGCATTTTGATTGGTTGTGTTTGAAAAAGGAAATCAAGATACTTCCTGTTAGATTTCTGTGTGTTACATAGAGAATTGTGTGTTGTGTTTTGCAAAAAGTGTTTAATGAAATTGAGAACTCAGAGGTTGAGAATTAGTGTATGGTTTTGCAGATTTGCTGTGTGGTTCTGGAGTTTGAGTGTCAGGTTTCAGAAATTGTGTGACAAGTATAGATTTTGTGTGTAAGCAGTTGAAAAAAAAAGTAACATTGCAGTAAAGTGAAACAGATTCCATATTTTTACTTTTTTTTGGATGGATTATATGTTTTTAGGATGAATCATGTTTTTTAAAAAGTTGCAAAGTGTGACATCATATTATGATCGTCACAGTGTCTGTAGAAATACTGCATGCTCAAAGTCTAGTGTGATCATGGCTTTACTAAAATACAGAGTGAGAAGTGTGAGAGATGAACGGCGAGAGAAATTAGCATAATAAAGTCTGGCAAAATGCAGAAGAAACTATGATGTTTTACACAAGGTTAAACGAAGTAAAATATTTAAAATAAGAAACAAGCAGACAAACAACTCATACGCTTCTGATTGCAAGCAGATTTTTTTTATTTTTTTTGTATCAACCAAACTCATTCAACTTCTCTCCTCTCAATATAGACACTTTAAAAAAGTTTACTTAACCTAAAATGGCCTTCATGTGGTAAAATCTAAATTTTCTAAATAATTACATTATTACTTAAATTTGGTCTATCCTTCATGCATAGCATGCATGTATTAATAAGAATATAGTGCATGAATCATGTGAACATTTTTAATGATGCTTTTGCTTTCTTTTTGAAGCTTGAAAACTCCAGCACATTATTTAAAAAATCGGTAACACTTTAGAATGGGGAACACTTATTCAGTTAGTAAGGTAGTTGATAAGTTTAGGTATTGGGTAGGATTAGGGATGTAGAATAAGGTCATGTAGAATAAGGTATTAATATGTGCTTAATTAGTACTAATAAATGGCTAATATTCTAGTAATATGCATGCTAATAAGCAACTAGTTAAGAGACCCTAAAATAAAGTGTTACCAAAAATTCTCCTTTAATGTGCAATGATAGAATGTGTTTTATGGTTTCAAACGACATGAGGGTGAGTGATGACAGAATTAAAATTTTTATGGTAAGAACCGCACATTTCCATTTGTTATAGAGCAAAAAAAAGTGAAACTCTTCTTTTTCTACTACATTTGTTCATTTCTACAGTCACTATCTAGAAAGCATATAGCAATTACTCACCCTAACAACAATTTTGTATGTGTATCAATTTATGCACACTTTAATCCACTTTACGACAAACCCCGTTTATGGCTTTTCCCCACAACACATCCATCTTGAAACGATGCTTGGAGATACAGAGGTACTCTGAAGTGACAAGCTTTTCCATCATCCCGCCGTTTAATATTTGGCTTAGTAAGGAGAGAGTCGGGCATTGCAGAGAGATGATGTCATACTTTCGCTCAACCGCACTTCGCACTATTCTAGCAGAGTGGATCCATAACAAATGAGGAATGGACCTGCTTTGACGTTTTAAACGCGGCCTGTTTTGAATATAAAATTAAGCATTTGTCCAAACTGTTCATGTCAATATTGTTGTGCAACGTAGAAAAAGTGAATCAAGACATGAATCGGAGAAATTAATATTATTATTATTGTAAAGGTCTCAGGGATACCAAATATTCATACTAAATACTAACACAAGATCTAATTTCAGAGATTGGGTTTACCTTAAACACGTTAAACAAAACTAACTTAACTATATTTTCAAGTAGCATGACAATAGATCCTCTGCTTTACAAAACGTGCTTAACAAACTATGTTTGCCCCCCCCCATGTAGTTATGTAGTATGCTAAAACTACATTATTATTTGAAATATTGTATTTCACAAAACTTTGCAATCAAGCAAGCTGAGGATATTATTAAACACATATTCCAAAACTCTTTTTTCTTATGTGTTGCATTGAGAAGTTGGAAGATTTTATTTATAT